TCCAAATTTACCATTTTTTTTTCGTCCAAATTTTGTTTGCTATTGGTTACATGTTCACGAACAGGTGCAGGCCAGCTAGACTGGTTCCCTTACCTTACAATTTTTCGGCATCTATTAATTGACCCATTTTATCTTTAGTGGAGTCAGGGAACCAGACTACTTGAACGTTTTTGTTTTTCTTGGTTTTTCCAGCATTTTCGAACACACAACTTCCAACATGTCAGTGTAACAATATTTGATCTATTATATAAATCCCTCAAATAGTTCATTTCTGAAAATTACAGCAAAAACCAATGATGTACATTCCCTGTAAATATAAGAAAACAACCCGGTACTTCAATATTTATTGAAAAGTGAACTTCTTTAAACATTAAAAATTGTCCAAGTGCTTTTCCGGACAACTGAGAACGCTGCTGCTGTGAAGTCATTTCAGAAAGTTACGGTTTAGTTTAGGGTTTTTCTGTTGAAAATGTGAACCCCAAATTTGCCCATTGTAAAGATTTGTGAAAAAGGTTGGCTCATTGGCATACATGTTGCAACGAATCACCAAAGAAAACAAAATTTTCGCCATCAAAATGTCCAAAATTCTAGCAAATGTTTGTGCTGAAATAGCTGTACGTTGAGGTTTCTGCCCGGAATGACATCACAGTTTTGCTCATAAATAAGAAATTTGCATATTAGCATGAAACAAAAAAGGCACCAAAATACCCTTGGAAATGGCAAAACGAAAATTGAAAAATGAGGGTAACCGGGACACAAGGATTAAAAACAAAATTACATGGCATGGCCCCTTTAACTTATAAAGCAGTCCAACTGGCTGGGTGAATGCAATCGATGAGACAGACAATGGGCCAAGTACTGACTGTAACCGTACACTGAATACACAGTAAATAGTGTCTTAGGCGGGGTCCTAACAATTTTTTTCAGAAAATTTCAGCTTTCAATAGAGAACAGCAAGCAACAGGGACCAAAGCAACTGAAATTTTAACTGTACATGCAGTGTTCTCCAACTTTGAAAATTAAAGGTTGGCGCTGGGGTCGGCGGGGACTCCTGCGAGCGCGGAGCGCGAAGCCCTTACGGCGTGGGGTCCGGGGCCCGCTTAAGGGCCCCGGGAAAATTTTGGATTCTAGATGCTCTGTGGTGCAATCTGAGGCGATTCTCCAGGCCAGTTCCCCCGATTTTTTTAGCATTCAAAAATTTCCTTTTCAACCTAAAGCATACTCCTAGAACTATGAGGCTCCGCGTGAGCGGAGCCTCATAGTTCTAGGAGTACCTAAAGCAGACTTCTCTCAGATCAAATGACACCTTTTTGTATTTTTGAAAAACAAAATGGGATACAAATTACGGGTTTTTTTACGCGATTTTATGGGTGGTGCCGGTGCCGTGCGATCGTCATCTTTATTTTCATGTTGCGTTTTGTCGTTGTCATCGTCATTTCCCCCCCAAATTTCCCTCTATTTATGACCTACCTGTATGTTCTTAAATGTCGCCAACTAGTTTGGTAAGTCAAATAAATTAAAAGTGGATTTTGTTCTCTTAGGGAACCGGGCCCATACACGATCGCCATTTATAACTTTTGACAATCGGCATGATCGGAACACCATGTGCACGCGTGTTTTGGCCTCGAGCTCATTTGCCTCGTACAAGAACATCAATGCGTATTATATTGTGTACCGCGCGTGCAAGCACCGAGAAAAAGAAAGTCGGTTGGCTGCACGTAAGATCTGCCGTACGTACTCCTGCTGGTGTGTGTGTGTACTAATACAGATATATATTTTTGCGGCGGGGTTGTTGCTACTTGAAGTATCGGCACACTCCGGAACTGGGGATTCAGTTGTCAGTGTGGACGTGTGTACATCGCGCGTAATAGTATAGTACCGTACGGTGCATGGGGAATCGCTGGTGTTTGCACGGCCGGCCGTGCTATTCAGCGAGATTTTAAGACAACCCCGATCGGGCTGGGATGACATCGAAATACATTGTTAATGTGTGGAAAAACAACTGAAATCAATTATTTTAGTTGTAAGTGTACACTGTAGAGTCAAAAAAATTAAACCTGGCGGCAGGATTTTAAAGCTTGGCGGGGACTTCTTAAACATGGCGGGCGCCGCAGAAAGCATGGCGGGGCGCCAGGTTTGTTCTACATGTTGGAGAACACTGTACATGTACATGTACATGTATATTAAAACTTCTACTGCAAACTTCCATAACATGATTTATGAATCTCATAATACTCTATATGCTTGAATGAACACAGCCCATTATGCTCACTAGTGTCACACCTGCAAAGCTAAGAGCTAGGTTCTTCCCAACAAAGAAAGGTTCCAAAGAAAGTTTGTTCACCTCTCACATGTAACTGTGCATCAAGTCAGTCAACAAAGGGTGCAGCCAACAACCAAAAAAATAGAGTAGAAAGGGCTGTGCAAGGTCATAGTCCTGTAGTGAAAAGCCCCCTGGTGCGTGGGTGGGGGGTTACCTATGATGGCATCCATAATTGCCCAATAGATCAACACTCAATTAAGATGGCATTAACTTAGAAATTGAGGTGTTGGTAATGGTTAGGGATGGGCTAAAAAGCTGATGGAAAGGCAACCAAGCAAGAAATCCAACAAGCAGGATGTGATTACCACAAATTATGTAATTATTTCTTATGCTTTTAACAGTTGTAAACTGTGTTTAGCCTCCATGATTTAACCTACGAAACAGGTACATATGGTTTGATAAGGCAAAACACAAAATAATACTTCTGCTTTTAGTTTCAGTTACCTGACCGACCCTATTTTTAGGCTGCGACCCTAAAAATTCTATTGGCAAGTCCAAAAAAATTTTTTTTTAATGAATAAATAAATATAACAAATCCTGATGTCTTTTCTGTCTTCACAAAACACCTCTAAACAACCCTTTTGCGTCAAAAATGCTTGTATTTACTTTGCCTACTTACATTCGCTATGTTTTTAGAGGACACGGATCACCTCTGTTGTTTTTACAAGTTCGCTTGGCGGTAACTAGTTCGTAATTCGATGTCGCGGTGATGACATATGAAAACACGTAACACGTGCGTAATGCGCAATGCGGCGATGACTGGTTCCCGCCGCCCCGCCAAAGGGCCACAGAAGGCAAGATGGAAATGCGGTAACCAGTCTATGCATGCATGGCCCGGTGCACTGTTTGAGGTACAGTCAGATTAGACATCCTAAAAATGCTAAGAAAACACCGATGGAGAAAGAACATTTTTGAAATTTAATTCACAGAACCTGATCTCTCTTGTCTGTGTATGTATTTTCCGTGTTCATGAACGAGGACGTACTACTTGTAAGCAGAACTATTTTTTGTTTGCCTAAGCTTAATACTGGTACTACCACACTACTTCTTTATGCCAACATGAAATTCATGCTCAGGATTAGTCCATGCATGGAGCCTCCATGGTCCATGCATCCTACCGGCACCTCAATGGTTTATGTACCGATACATGTACCACCCAAACAAAATTGCTCCCAACTACAAATTAATGTTTGTACTATTACGTACATCAGTAGAATTTAAACAGTGTTGATGTCAACAATACAGTCACCATGGTTACCAACACAAGAAACATTGCTTCAAAGAATACATTTTTACAATTCTCCTAAATTGCTACACCGTACAAAATCTGTAAACCATGACAACATGTACGGCCTATACCAATCTTTTTTCAGGGAAACCCTTTCACCCACACACATTCCACAGGAAGGTCATTTTGGCCGTCATTTTACCACACACATGCCTGTTCACCCACTGGAAACCACTAGACAGATCCCACTGAACAATGGAAGAGCTCAACAGTGGGTAACCTCAGCATGATCATCCCATTGTTCATAGATCAGGCACCAGAAAGTGGCCCAAATTCCTCAGCGGACTAGTTCATTTTTTTTCCCCAATTGAGCAACATTCTCATTCTCTTAATCTTTCCAAAAGGTTCTTTCAGCAAGATACCGGTACAAGTTAAAATTGTGTCTGTATTTGAGATTTTCAAAATAACATACTTATAAGTTTGAATCAAATAAATGCCATTTATTTGATCTTACTCCATTGCAATGACTGATTGACCAATATGACTTGACCAATTTGTTTTTAAGACATGCGTAACTAGCTAATGCCCTTTCCTTTCAATTTTTTTGTCAATGTTTCGACCTGTGTTCCTTTTATCCAGTGTTTTGTGCTTTAAAATTAAACAGCGCCAAATTATAAAAACCCTCCTTTGCTGTTTATTATAATGAGTCAAGAACAATCAACAGATCACTCTGACATGCCAACTGGGGCCTTTGATGGTTGCCTAATTTACCCATGATCAGTTACATCATGTGTCCTTTCTCTATGCTATGGTTACATGTTCATTCGTATTTTCAACATTGAAAACTGAAAGAAGGTCATGTTAAAAAGCCACTAAATTAAATGGGTACTTCATGTAAATCTAACATAAAATACACAATGTATGCTTTAAATTATATAAGAAATTCTTAAGCAAAGTACATGTAATATACAACACTCCTGGATTTGTACTTCATCTTCATAATTATTTTTTAAGGCCTTAGAACTTATATAGAAGGACTAGATTAAAAAAAAGTTAAGTCTATTACAAATGATTTTGGGAAAGAATGTTGCAACCTGACGCCACTTTTTTCTTCATATATATCATCTCAATAAAGGTCAGTCATTGCAAAAATGTTGAAAAGACATGAATCTTTGACTGAGAAACATTTCCAATTTTGTTAGGAAATACTTAAAAATAAATCTTGACACTCCATAGACTATGTACACAACCGCTGTAGTGGCGTCTGAATACTACATTCTTTCCTTTTTTTGGAAACAGCATATTCCGTTCACAATTTCCCGAGTAGAATTACTTATTACTATCCAGACTGTCTTAAAGACGTATAATATAAATAAGACCCGGCCTAGGCTAATGCTTACAATTTTCAAAATAATTTTCTCAGTAAAATAACCTTTCAAATTTACTCACCGTGACGTTAACTGTGCAAAGCTGCCTCCGTCCAGAAGTCTTACTTTACTGAATAATACTCCATTGACGAGAGGTATCGAGGACAATTCCACCAACTCAAAGCTCACACTGAACTTGTACTTCTTCTTCTTCATTATGAACGTCATCCAGGGAACGAGTACTGCTCAATACGTGGTCGACTCCCGCAGAATAAATTATTTCCGAGACAATGTCATGAAATCTACAAACTCACAGCAACAAATTGCCAAGCCTTCTCCAGGAAAGTTGCTTATTATGTTCCAGCATACATGGTTGTTATATGCATCACCTTCGGTGTGAACGCCAGCAAAACAATTATGCAGTTGTTTTTTTCAAGTACACCGGCACTACCACGCAACGAATGTCACACTAAACAAACAGGTATACTATCGGAGATCTAGGCCTGTTCCGTTTGTGCTGATGTGCTCATTTGCCAATCCGAATGTCTTTCAAAATACAAATGATACAATCCAAAGAGCTCACCAATAATTCCCTAACAACACGTGTTGCGTCATAACATCACAGCCAAGCGTCGCTAAATGTTCAAAATCCGGAAGGAAAGTGTCAGAAACAGACGATTACAAACTAGCGGTCCGTTTCCACACGTACACTGACGAATCTGATTGTATTTACACGTACACACCGGAAGCGTTGTGTTTGTCAGACTGGTGTCGTTTGGCCCAGAGGTTACAGTTCAACAGGATTAAGGTTGGGTACCGTTTTTGTGGGTTAGCGACTTTTTCGATCAATCAATTAATATAGCGCCCTCTGTCGCCGCAGTGCGATTAGTAATTTATAAATCCAAAATTGTTTGGATAGTTTATAAGTTTAAATAATGTAGGCCTACTTCATTCACTTAAATCGTATGCCATTATTCTTAAACGTACTTCATCTTTCTTAGCAAAGATGCACAACAGCCAAGGAAAGCAACACAAAAAGGCCGTCTTTCAGTTTTTGTAAAACCTCCTTTAACAAAACTGACAGTCTTTTTAAAGTTGCTCTTCTTTTTCACCGAAAGAAAAAAAAGTCAAACATCATGAAGACCCAGTCCTTAGTGAATCTTGTTCCAAAAGAAATGTTAAAATGTGGGTAAACCTTGTTTACTTGAGTGATATTTGTTTGTTATCAAAAGCAAAAAGCAAAGTAGAAACCCCCTGACCCCAAAAAGGACAAATTCATTGAAATGTCTTCCTTTTGAAAAACCAGATCTTGATGAATTTATTTCCTTTGAATATAAACCTTTTCAAAGTAGTACATGAAAACGAAATTGAAACAGTTTTAAAATTGTCTTTAGAATAAAGCAAATGGCAAACTACAACCAAATACTATTGTCCAAAGTAAAAGCTTTCCTCAGTTAATGGGAATATACAATATTTATAAACATCAAAACAAAAAGAACCAAACAAAATTAATGTGAAATACCTTACTGGACTTTTAGTGAATGACAGTCTAAAGCATCCTGTAAAATCATGGCACCTAATGTGCCAGATCATTTTCAAGACCTGGTATTTTTGTATCAATTTCCAATGCTGGTCAGCCGGCCAGCATTGGAATTTTTTTTTCAAATACTGCCCCCAAATTGCCATTATTTAAAAAGGTTGCATTTGTTTGCAATCGATTACACACCTATGAATGGGTACAACTACAAGCCAGCTAGACTGGTTCCCCAACCTTACAATTCCCTGACATCTATAAATTGCTCTGTTTCATCTACGAATACAAAACTTCAAATAAGTCAGTGTAACAATATTTCCTATGAAATAACCCCCCAAATCCATCCATTTTTGGAACAGCAAAAGCAAATGTTGTATAATCCCTTTAATTTCTTACTGCTTTTAACACCATTCAAATAATAGTAGAGAAACAAAATTGTTGAAAATGTAATGTAGAAAATAACACCAACAAAATAGAAATGCCTAGCATACCTGGAAGTAAAAAACAACCGCTTCATTAAAGTTCTTCAGTTCTTCAAGTTTCTCTGAAGTATCTCACATTTGCATGTACAAATGCACGAGACACAAATAATCATGAACTAATTTTGTAGAAGCAGATAATAAATAATATATATACAAATGAGTCTCCCAACACATTTTAATAAACTACAATTTGACAGAACATTTTTTCCACACTGCTTATAGTAATTAATAAACCATTACACACTTAATTATAAAACGCATAGAATATAAATCAAGATAAGTTTGCGGTAGCACCATGTGAATAAATCTCTTTTGTGAGTATGTGTGGTTCTGAAAAGAACCGGAGGGACTCAAACTTATCTTGTCTTAGTATCTTTCCACCATGCAAACCTTCAAATCTCATCGCATAGAATATATTTAAGTGAAAATTCTTTGAAAAAAAAAAAATTTAACATGCTTAATGAATATTTCTGCATATTAGTTACAAAGATAACTTTCAACGTTACAAAGACTTTCACTTCCAAAAATAATATTTTTAACAATTAAAAAAGTTGGTTGGATGTTTATATTCGTTTTCAATACTGATTTTAATGATGTGAAACTGACACGTTTGTTCCCGTTTCAAAATGTCATACAGGGTGTCCCAAAAAGTTTTGCAAGCAGATATCCTTTAATTTCTTTAATTATGAAAGGTTATATGGGGTTTTCACCCATTCCAATGGGATATTTTACAGTTAGTGATATCAGTGCATCAGAATCAGATTGTCATGGGCTTTTTCACTCTGATGTCAATTAAGTTATAAACTGTGTATAAATCCCATCTCATTGGAATGGGTGAAAAATCCATAGCCTTTTTACAATCTGTTAGATCTCCCAAACCACGTCCCCAACTTCGGTGCCCTGCTGCTCTGCCACTCCCAGAATGGAGAAAATGACCACGCCTCCAAAGATGCTGGTGAAGAAGTTGAAGAAGAGCAATACTGACCCCATCACTGAAACAAAAAGAGGAACAAAGAAGGTGTTGAGAAATAAGGAATTGGGATGGATTGTAATGCACAGGATCAGCAACCAACATAAAACAGTGTCAACTCATCCTGCAAATATATAGCTGTATATAACAATTTAACAACCACAGAACAATAATCAGGGCGATGATTCCATGAGAAAGTGGATATGGCTGAAAAATGAAAATTCATGAACTCTTCCGAACTACAAGCATCGCAACCTCAAAAGTGGTATCAAATTAAAGGTGATAAAAAAAACCTTCTTTTGAGTGATGTGGCAAATTGAACATAGTTAAATGTATTTTTGTGTCTAAAAAACTGGGGGGTTTTGGGGGCTAAAATTACAGATTTTGGGAATTAAGTTTGGCACCTGTTTTTACATGCAAAATGCAATTGTCACTGTGAGTTTTTCTTTGTAAGGTAGAGAGAAATGATAATTTGTTATGTTTTGACTTGTACCCATTGGCGGACAAACTGTAACGTGAGTTGCTGTAAGGCAAGTTTCTGAAATACATGCATATCCCTCTACTAGAGTGTAAGAAATTACCTTCGCCAAGGAGGTTATCTTTTCATCGGCATTGGTTAGTTTGTTGGTCGGTTGGTTGGTTTGTTGGTTGGTTTGTCTGTTAACAAAATAACTCGATTAGTTATGCAGGGAGTTTTTATGAATTTTTTTTACAGGTGATCCTTCGTACAAGTACAAATTGATCAGATTTTTTTGTAACTTAGTCACTTAATTTTAAGGGATCTTCAGTGAGAACGATCCACTGTAAAAATGACTTTTTACAATAACAGTACAGAGTTGATAAAACACCCCTTACATGTAAAACATAACATGCATGTTACCATTGCCCATAAAAATCTTTTCCCAAAGTTTTAGTGAAAATCTGTCTGTCACATCCAGCTGATGAGTTCACTGAAACCTATTTGTGTAGACATTGGCTTTCAATTTAACCAAATAACAATAAACTGCATTATTTACAAATTCTTTACCAACAGTGCAGGGAAAACCTGTGCATTAATATCTCACTAAATAATAATATCACTAATAATATCACTTCCTGACCATTGCACCGTAAAAAAGTTAACTACTGGCTTCTTTAAGCACATGAACACACAAATGAAGTGGCACTACTGAAGATTGTTTTTGTATGTGTAATATCTAGCATTACGAGAAGTCTAGTTCAAGAGGCCAAAGGTTTATACATGTTGGCAGTGTAGAAATATACTGCATGCATGCAAGTGCTGAAAAATGTTTCAGGGGAAACACCTAACATGATGAGAAATCTAGTTGGCAAGAGGCCAAAGGTTTAGGATTTTGGCACTTCTTTTATACACACAATAAATGTGCACAAGTTAGGCGCGCCGCCTCCAAGTGTACACACAGATAAAGCAGGACAGGGAAATGATAGCAAAGAAAACTGATCTGAACATGCATATAATGTGTGAATGGCTGACATTTTAGGTAAGTTCTATGTTTGAAATGTTAAAAAGACTGTTGAAGTATACAATAATGTCAAAAACTGGCTGTGTAGTTGGCAACACTTTCCATTCCAAATGAAACAAATGTAGCCTACTCTTGATTGGAATTTCACCAGCACCCATATGTAGTGTACATGTAATGCGAACACCACAGCTCCAAGAAAATCTGTTTAGGAATCATCAATGGACTTACAGCCATATCCTTTCCCATAATTGAAGTTGCTGGGGGAAGGATGTGCACCTGAAAAGGCACAATTCGCTCCAGTAAGACACAAAAACTGCAAATTCTTAAAGAATGGTATGGAAGTTTAGATAGGACATGGTTAAAAATAAAACTAATTCGTACGTACGAATTACTAAACCGTACGTACGAAATACTAATTCGTACGTACGAATTACTAAACCGTACGTACGAATTACTAAACCGTACGTACGAATTAATAAATCGCACGTACGAATTACTCAGTGGCGTAGCCACGGGAGGGGGGGGGGGGGCCGTGGGGGCAGTGGCGTAGCAAGGAATTTTTCAGTGGGGGGGGGGGGGCGGCGCTGGGGGGCTGGAACATTTCATGGGGGGGGGGTGTCATGTAGATCCATGATAATTTTTTTAGAAACTCAAAATCTCAGTGGGGGCGACTGGTGGGCGACAAGGTTTCATGGGGGGGGGGCTGTCCCTCGAAAAACTGCCCCTCGAAAGCACAATTAGTGCCCCAATCGCAACATTAAAACTGTACCCCTCTCAACTTAGATGAAAAACTGACATCAAAAAATAAAAGTGCTCCTCAGTCCTCACGCAAATACAATGGTCACTGAACTTGCCTTGAAAAGCAACAGTGCCCCTTTCACGATAAAAAAAATGGTCGCTTTGCATAGGCCTAACTAGTCAAATTCAAGGGCAGACCAAGGGAGGTTACTGCCAGGGGTGTGCCGGAGGCAAAAGGGCTCTCTCAAGTGAAAAAGTACCTTATTTGAGAACAATACAGAAATTAAGACTACTTCAGGAATAGGCCTACACTTTAATTTTGTGACTATTAAGGGAATTAAGATTTTTTAATTTTCAATGCAAACATTTTTAACAGTGTATATCAATGTTAGCAAATTTTGTTCCGCGTAATATGTATATTCCTTGCAATGTGAACGAAAACAGTTTCACAATTTTCTCCTCTCACACCGACGGAAGTTACCTTTTTTCTGAGCAAGTGCCCCTTTTTGGTGATGCCCCCCAGTTTAAAAAGTGTTCCACTGTCGCTTACTTATATGTACATGTTGGCCTACACCCCTATATAGCCACCGCCAACAAAAAAGGCACCATCAACAGAAAACAAGTGGATAATATAGCCAAAATTGAAAATCTTAAGTAAGATGTGCAGGCCTGGACCACATATTTTACATTCTAATAATTAATTCACGAGAGAAATTAGTGAAATACGTTGTATCTGTTTTCAGAAGACCATCACAAATCAAGCCACCATGCCACGTAAGTCCAAATCCACTCAACAAGTTCGTCGTGCCAGACCAGCCAGCAAGAAGCAAAAGACCCACCAGGTTAAACAAAAAAAGAAGCCACCTGCTCGAAAGCCTAAACCCCAGAAAAGTCAACAAGCCAAGAAAAAGCCAAAAGTTAAACCAAAACCTCCAAAAATCAACAAGCCAAGGCAAAAGTTAAAAAAAAAAAACCAGCCAAAAAGGCTGTCAGCTCCAAAGCATCAACCAGCCAAAAAGTCAAAAGTAAAAAAAAATCAACTGGGAAAAAGGCCGACAGTTCAAAGAAATCACCGGCAAAAAGTCCAAAAGTTCCAAACATTCAGCCAGCTCAAAAGCCCAAGGATCGAAAGCGCCACAGGCCGCAAAGCAAGCAGCTAAACACCCCAAACCAGCTAAAAGACATCTCGCGGACCAGCAAGGTCAACCTAGCCCAAAACGACCAAAAATTCAGCAAGTCCAAAGGAGCGTTCCAGTTGCAACCGTCAGGCCGTCGACAACGAATGTGCATCATCATCATCATGGGCCTCAGATTGTGCAGGTTCCAGTTGCTACCGGCAGGCCGACTACGACGAAAAATGTGCATCATCATCATGGGCCTCAATCTGTGCAACACAGCTTGAACATCAGCGGGGACAAAAACCCAGTGGTGTATGCACCAGGGGGCCACCACAACACTTTATCCTACCAACAGCACGGCCAAGACGAACAACCAAAACCAAGGCCGAAAGGTAACTAAATAAACAAAATGTTAACAAATGTTAAAACCTGAGTTAGATAAAAACCTAAGTTAGACATGTTTATTTGGACAGTGTGGTAATTTAATATCAGTGGTGCTGCTATGTCTGATCCACCTTTCCATACCCTACATGTTAGATGTTTTGAAACTGGCATATAGTTCAAAGAAAGAATGCTCCTCCATCTCTGTTACTTTTTAAACCTTTACTGACAAGTTGCACTTTCTAAATAAGATAATTTCTAGAACATCAAAACAATCTTTAAAAACAAATAATTCCTAACCTACCATCCCGGCCAAAACTCGCTGGGTGCCCCACTCCCAGCCCCCGGCCAATGTTGTCTCTCATTGCGCGGTCTGTGCTCAAGCGTGAGATGACAACACCATGACCATTGATCGGGGACCAGGGGAGGGTATGCTCTTGTGTGGACATGTCCGACCCATTTTGGCCGGGATTGTAGCTTAAAATGTTGTATGAAAGACACAGGAGTTTCAAAATCTTTTGACAGGGCAAGAACGTCAGGACAAAGATAAAGACTCCAACTCTGAGGGGGCAAAAGACACTCAGGACAGCTCATCCACTGATAAACCAACTCCTGAAGCAGAGGAAACCTGGACATCTCCCAAAAGCATTAAACAAGAAGATGATGCACAGAAACCAGACAGCAGATCTGGGATTAGCTGTTTGTAAAGGTGTGAGAGTCTTGACTAAAAATGTATGAAATGATAGTCAAAGAGGAAAAAAAATACATTTAAGTCTTTACACAGGACCACCCCAAAAGGAAAAAAAAAAACCCAAACAATGGTTTCATTTTTTATAGGTCAAGCAAGACCTATATTCGCTTTCCATGAAGATATAAGATTGATTCAAAAACAGATTTTAGTTTTTCAAGATTACTTAGCCACTGTTAATTAAAGAAATGTATATTGATCAGCTTAAAAAATATTCTGTTAATATTTTTACAATTTTCTTTTATGGTGATGGGTAAATTAGCGCATCAACAGAAGATAATGTTTCATGACCATTTTTGAGAACACACCACTTGTGCATGTTGCTTCACATGCCTATTGCACGATATTTAAGCACAATTAATTTTAATCCAAATGTTAACAAATATCTTCATGATAGTGCTGGGCTGGTGTTTTACTCAATACAAATTCTTCTAAAATGTTTATAAGGTTAAATACCCCCTTGGCTAATGTTTTAATCAATATAAATTCTTCTAAAATGTTTATAAGGTTAAATACCCCTTACCCTCCCTCTTACCCCCCCCCCCCATGCTATGTGATATGATATGATAGAATAATGACAAGACTAGCGATGTATTATGTGAAGTTCTGTAGGTCATGTTCCACGCTCCATGTACAGTAATCAAGTAACCCTGGGAGGTATAGATCAAAGGTTATATGAATATGCATGGTCCCATTACATCCCCCCTTTTGAGAACAAAATCTATGAATGAAAGTGAGGGTTAAATGAACTAGATTTTGTAGCAAAATTGGAAATACATATATTTGTCCTGTGTGTCTAAGGAATGAACTAATCGCCAAATTGTCATCTAATTTGCTGAACCAAGTAGGAAACTTTTCTACTGTCTTGCTTATTATCAACAATATATTTTAGGAACTCTTTTTCGGAACTCTATTTTCGGAACACTTTTAAGTAACTTTGGTGTTGTAACACATCCTTTTCGCACACTTTTCTCTTATTTTCTAAATGACAAAAACAAAACTTAAAATTTGTCTGCATAAAAAAAAATTGTTTCTTTGTTGAACAAAGTGAACTAAAATTGTCTTTACTTAGTTACTTTTTTCTTTTACGCTGGTACTTCTTTCTGTGCCTTGTAACGACAAAAAAAAATACATTAAAAGAATAAAACTTAAACAAAAAATGATTTTGTTGTCTCTAAGCGTTACTTGAAACAGACTTATTTTTCAATCAGTCTTTGTGGTTTCTTCACTACGCGGCCACTGCGTGTACGGTATGGTTCAGTAGCCACAGCAGGTAAGTTAGTGATAGAGTTGTTGTTGTCACTGTGTTGTTTCTGATCAGTAGACTTGCTCCCAGTCTTCCTCAGTATAGACTTGGGGCATGTGGGTTGAGTGACGGGGTATGTACGCTAGCAACTGGTGGGTCTGCAAAGCGGAGTGTCTTTCTCATTGGTTCAGTATTGCGAATGTGCACTCTGTTACGGCGTAAGCTTTGTCCAGTTGGTGTCTGAACAATGAATGATCTGGGTTCTGGACAAGCATCTTTGACAACTGCGGGTGTCCATTTCCCAGTGTGATGATCTTGAACCGTCACGTGTTGTCCCGGTACCAGTGATGATAGTTTGCGCATACCATCACGGTCATGGTACTCCTTCTGTTTGTCTTGGCGCTGGGCCAACCTGGCATACACGTCATCTTTGTCGTGCCGGTTGTGTCGAATCTTCGACGGAAGGTCGTCCTTGAGTTTGCGACCATTGAGTAGCTCTGCAGGTGAGGGAAGAGCACTGTCTATCGGAGTTGTGCGGAGGCATAGGAGTGCAAGGTAGGGGTCCATGTTGGACTGCTTTGCCTTTGTCAAGGTCAATTTCACAGTCTGTATCATCCGCTCGATGAAACCGTTACTCCTTGGATACCTTGGGCTTGATGTTACGTGATCAAATTCCCAGTCTTGGGAGAATTTGTGGTACTCACGGCTGTCGTACTGCGGCCCATTGTCACTTATGACTTTGGTGGGGATACCTTGCTCACTGAAGATTTGTTTTGTGAGAGTTATTACCGCTGCACTCGAACACTGACCACTCACGCGACGTACAAATGTAGCTTTGGAATAATAGTCCGCGATGATGAGGTAGTCAGCATTGTCAAAATGGAATAGATCCGTTCCGACGGTCTGCCAAGGCCGCTGGGGTATCTCATGAGGTAGTAGAGGCTCATGAGACTGCTTGCGCTGATGTGTTTGGCACACAACGCATTTCCCAACCAACTGTTCAATGTCCTTGTTGATACCTGGCCAATACACGCACACTTTGGCTCGCAGTTGGCATTTGTTGACACCTTGGTGTCCGGCGTGTATTTTTGCGAGTGTCTCTTGTTGCATGGATTCGGGAATGATGATTCTGTCTCCTTTGACGACTAGGCCGTTGTCGACCGACAGTTCGTCTCTACATGACCAGTAGTGACGTATGCATTTAGGCAGATCCTTGGGATCCTCCGGCCAGCCAGTCATGATTGTCTCAGACAATGGTCGTAGAGTAAAATCACTAGCTGTCTCTTGCTTGAGCTGAGTGAGTCTAGCTTGAGAGAACTGTATGGCGTAGATTGTCGTATCGAAGTTGATCTGAGGGCCATACGCGGGATTGAGTCGCGAAAGAGCGTCTGCGAGTAATAGTTCGCGTCCCGGCTTGTATACGATCGTGAAATCATAGGGCTGCAAACACAACATCATACGCTGGAGTCTTGGGGGTGTGTTAGCGAGGCTTTTGTGTTGGATGTTCTCCAAGGGCTTGTGGTCAGACTCCACAACGAACTTTGACCCGTAAAGGTAAGTGTGGAATCGTGTACAACCAAACACCACCGCAAGCAACTCGCGTTCGATGTTTGCGTATCGTTTCTCAGTTTCTGTCAGTGCTTTGCTCGCGAATGCCACAGGTTTGTTGTTTTGCAGGAGTGCCGCTCCGAGTCCTTTCAGAGACGCGTCGACCTGTAGCACTGTGGGTTGTCGAGGGTCGAAGTGGGTGAGCGTACACTCAGTACCGATTAGCGACTTGACATTTTCGAATGCTTTCTGGTGCGATTCCGTCCACTGCCACTCGCTTTCTTTGCGTAGCAGTGCGCGGAGTGTGTCCGTATGATCAGCGAGTCTGGGGAGAAACGGCGCGAGGTACTGCACCATGCCCAGAAACTGCTGAAGTTCGTTGACATTCTGCGGTGCAGGAAGTGCATGTATGTCTTGCACCTTCTCCGGGTCGGGGTGCACACCAGAGGCATCGTACAGGCATCCGAAGAACTTAATGCAAGGGGTTCTCACCTCGCACTTGCTGAGATTGAAGATCAGGCCGTATTTGCGAGCGACTTGCATGAGGTTGTGTAAGTGTTTGTCATGTTCTTCGACTGTAGAACCGAAGACTGCGATATCATCTGCAATCCCCAAAGTGCCAGGGCATTGCTCCAGGATCATGTCCATTTTCTCCTGGAAGATATCCTGGGAGACTTTCAGCCCGAAGGGTAGGCGACGGAAACGATACCGTCCAAATGGCGAATTGAAGGTTGTCAAGATACTGGACTCCTCATCCAGCACGATGCTCCAGTACCCATGTCGTGCATCCAGCTTGCTGAACACTTTAGCGCCACTGAACTGATGTGTGATTTCTTCCAGTGTTGGCGTTTTGTGATATGTCCGCTTGGAGGCTTTGTTCAGTGCTTGCGGGTCTAGGCACACGCGAAGACTGCCGTTGGGCTTTCTGCTGAATGCCAGTGACGAAACCCAGTCTGTGGGCTCCGTGACCTTGGTAATGACATTCATGCTTTCCATTCTGTCCAGTTCAGTCTTAAGCTCCTCCTTGATCTGGATTGGGTACTTTCGTGGAGGATGTACGACCGGACATGCATCCTCTCGTAGCGTGATATGGTATTCACCGGGGAATTTACCAATCCCAGTGAAGCGATCAGGATACATGCTCTGGAGGTCATCTTTCGTTGGTATTGGCTGGATGGGCTCGCGTTGTGTCTGCGATGTGCGATGAACACCCACGGAACTGTCACTGCGTCGTGGTGTTTTGCGTATCGCACAGTTGAGCGTGATGAGGTGGAGAGCTCGTGAGGTCGGAAGTCCAAGGATTGCCGGACCTGTAGTATCGGCGACGAAGAAATCTGCGTCAAGCCAGTCTGTCTCACCGTAGCTGCATGGAATTTTGACGCATCCGTATTGTTGAATTCGGGTTCCATTGTAGGCTGTGAGAAGCGTACTTTGCGGTGTAGTGGAGCCCGGCTGAGGATACCCATCTGCGTCCAGTGATCGCGGAAACATGCGTCGAAATGTGAGAAGGGGGAGTATGTTCCCTTGTGCACCTGTGTCGACCTTGACATTAAGCGTGTGTGATCCAGGACGATGTTTCAGTTTGATGCGAAGTATTGCGAAAAGTTCATCGCGAGTATCAGTTGAACGCTCAACGTCATCGTGATTGTGCTGGGCTGTGATGGTGTCGAATGCGATGTTTTCAAACTGGTCCTGCATATCAGTCACCTCATACTCAACCGCGTTTACCTCGTTGGATTTACGAGGTTTGGAGCGCGATGAAGACCGACGACCGCGTTTAGGTGAGTATGATCCCCTGGTACGCGTGCGTGATTTGCGTGTGGTGCGTGGTTTAGTCTTAGTGCCTGCTGTACTGAGGCACATGTGTTGCCAGTGTCCATCTTTGCCGCAACCATTGCATGTTGTGCCGTATGCGGGACACTTATCGCGAGGTCGATATGGGTGTCGTCCACCACAGTTTTTGCATTGTCCTCGCGTCCTGACGACGTCCACCTGGGCCTTGCCAATATGGCTCAGTTGTGCCATATGCATGACACTGCCTTCGTGTGCTCGGCAAATGTCCAAGGCGTCTTTGAGTTGCAGTTTGTCGTCCTTTCGGAGCAGTTTCTTTTGCACCTCAGAGTATTTTACCCCTGAGATGAGAACCTCGATAATTCTCTCATTGAGGGCTGTTTCACTGGCGAATTGGCATTTCATGGCTTTAGCTTTGCATCGTGTGTAGAAGTCATCAATGCTCTCGGTTTCCATCTGGACAAACCGTTGAAATTCCAACCGATGTATGCGGAAATTGTCCTGGGGTTCAATCTGGCTGGAGAACTTGTCCCAGATGTTTTGAGGATTTTTGAGGTCTTCGTCAGTCAGACCCCATGTGTTGAACATACGGAGACCCTCTTTCCCAGACCACAAAATGATATAATTGTGCTGGTCTTTATCCTCAATGTTTTTGACAGCGAACCACATGGAAGCAGTTTGTTTAAAGTCCTTATATGCTTGGGGCCTGTCATTGGTTTCCCAGTCCATCTTTGGTTGAGGTAGGCCTATTGAATCGGCCATGTCGACTCAATTGTCCGTGCGAAAACGTAGTCAAAATGCAGTCGAGCCGAAGCAGGATACTGCGAACCGCGATGTACGAAGCAGAGGTCAAAGGTCACCGCCCGACACAATGAAATTGGCTTCGCGCACTGTACGTTGTGTGTAAAACTATTGCACAGTACTGTATGTGTGTACACGTACCGTATACTGTTGTTGCGTGCACGGGACTTGTTGCAGCGAAACGTGGAACTTTTCACAGCGTTGATCTCGCCCAGAAATGTTCGATCGAGGGTCTATTTCGATGTCTATTAGGGTAGACCACTTACACCGTTGCCACCATGTGATATGATATGATAGAATAATGACAAGACTAGCGATGTATTATGTGAAGTTCTGTAGGTCATGTTCCACGCTCCATGTACAGTAATCAAGTAACCCTGGGAGGTATAGATCAAAGGTTATATGAATATGCATGGTCCCATTACATGCTACACCACTGGAATTGGAAACAAAATGCTTTGAAATCATGGGCGTCGCGAGGGGGGGGGGGGCAAGGGGGGCAACAAACAAACAAAAACAAAAACAAAAGACAAAAAAAGAGAAAAAAGAAAAGGAAAAAGAGGCGCGAAAGTCATATTGGTGCAAATTTAATGGGTTGGGGGAGGGGGAAATGTAACTTCCCCCCTCTAAAACTGATAAATAGAGAATATGTTGAGAGATACAGGAATTTTTTGGGGAAAATATGTTTTGCCCCCCTCTAGAACAATTCCTGGTGACGCCCATGTTTGAAACGATTGAGGATCACTTCTTGAGGACAACTGCTTTTTATAAATCAAGCTATAGCCTAAATATGCTACTGGTTTTATTGTGCCTTTTATACTTGATTTAAAAAGAAGTAAAACTTATACGCAGATATACATCAACGCTAGTCGATTCACATTGTCGTGATTCTGTTTAAGGCATATTGTAAATATGAGTAAATACGAACTCAAGAATGCATGGAACAAATTTCGCATATTAATTGATAGATGTACAATGAAGCAGAAGTGGATTAAATGCCAAATAGGAGAGATGTCAAAATTTCAGCAAAATAATTTAAGCGTTGTTTTAATGTCTTTTAAGGATTTCCTGTTTATCATGAAACTGACACAAGCTCACAAGCATTCTTAAGAACTCAAAGAATATATGGTCCATTTTAAACAGCACTGCAGCAGCTAATTTCACCAAGCAATTAAACTTATATATATTCCATTGTGTAGAATTTACACAACAAATTGTGCAGCTGCAACTATACTTCTGATGCAGTATACAAATATTGAGTGGCTCAGAGTGGAATGGGAGGAATGCTATCGCAAGGTAAATTCCGGAAAATCCAGATTTTACTGAGAATGTGACTTTTTGAGCCTGGCGTGAATGGAAGCAATAATGAATGTCCCGTGATGTGATTTTTTCTTTTCTTAACTTACCGGGGGGGGGGGGGGGGGGGGGGATGCCCCTCTCCCTTCCCTGGATCAGTGCCTGTATTGTCCCAGTAAACGTCATACTTTTCAACCACTTATACTTCAAGTGATAGGCCTATGTGTGCAGAGAAGTGAAATTTGCTGAAAGTCAGTCTCACAAAAACAACATCCAATGTTGCAAACTAGTGTCCACCACGCAATCTTTTCAGCTTTTTTGGAGCACAGCATTCTTACCTTTGGTCTTGTCAAAGTCTCGCACTCTTGGGTCTGAAGAAGCACGTGTTGCCTTTATTGTATCTCGGCAAGGTAATCCCGCGCATCAGAAGTAAACAGGCACAGGTAGGGGAAATGTGCAGTGAAGTACACCACCTAGGAGGCCAGGAATAAAAGGATTGAATTAAAAAGGGTGACAAAAAAAATCTTACATTTTTGTCAGCTGCAGTGATGAAGATTTGTCTTTCGTAATTTTACTATCAAACCAGAACAAACTTCTGGCTTTAACTTTTAAAATGCATATTATTATTCGGAGTCATTTCCCTTCAAAAGTTAGATAGCTTACTGTTTTTTTCTACCGCATTGTTTTTATGTTAGTTCCATTCCATTTTCGCCTTAGCTCCGTTAATGCTCATCTCACCACTCTTTTAAACGTTTTTTTTTTTCATTTCAGTTTATATATTTATATAAATAAATAACTTACACTGCTTTATATTCATGATACGTAAATACCATTTTAGTAATAACAGTTTGTCTTACGTCTTATATAGTCCTTTAATGTTTTGATGTTATCATAAATCCAACCACAATTCGGCCTTGCGTCGATTAAGGTGGATATTATAATAAACCAATACTGAATTGATTTAAACTGAATTGAACTTCTCTAATTAGTTTGAATGTGCAGTTGTGCATGTTGATTTTATTCTTTTCTTTTCTGAGGAGGGGGGGGGGGGCAAAATTTGCCACAATGTGCACTAGAGTAAACCATTTTTGGGTAAGTGTAAATTGGTTTTAGTTTATTGAATTTAAAAATATTCAACAGATAAGACAGAACATGCTCTTGAAACAATGACTTCTTTCAATCATTGAACATTCAAACTACTGTCTCCCTCAGTGATTCGTGAAGTGTTCCTAGCTATATTTTGATTCTACCAATAGTTCAACATTTAAGTAGGAACCAAGGGGCAATGTTAGAAAGGAACAATCCATCCACCATCTTGAAAAATCTGGGGGGAAAAAGCAAGCTCCTCCTTTAAAAAAAAAAAAAGCCTGGACAGTTTTTTTTTATAAACTGGCCAAACAATGTGAGACTGTTTTACAACTCACCACCTCCATTCTCGAAGCAGAGGTAAGGAAAACGCCACACATTTCCCAGGACGACTGCGTAGCCCAGACAGGCAAGAAAAAACTCGGTCTTGGGCCGCCAGACTGAAGATCATGAGAAACCTCTTCATTGTCGGCACACTTCATCTCCTCCATCATTGGCTACAAGGAGAAGTTTGTAGAAAATCAGGGTATTTTATGCAAAATAAATGTAACCAATAAATGTAATAACAGACTTTTCAGTTGCAAGTTGCCCCCCCCCCCCCCCCCCGGACCGGTATTTTGGTTTTAAAACAAAAAAAAATTCACACCATGAATTACTGAAACATTAAGAAGTAACTCATCTGCTCTGGCATCCAGGTTATCACCTAAAGTTGAAGTTATTCCAATTCTATCAAAAAACTAATAACAGGCGTGCAACTGGAAAGTCACCAAAAGAGGAAGTTCAAGTCTTTCCAAGACTTTTTACAGTGTTTTTCTATTTTCAATGGTACACATGGGAAGTAAAAAAAGAGGAAATCAGCTGATTCGAGGAAAAGTTGCATGCCTGATTTAAAGGAAATGTATGTTAATTAATCTAAAGTGGCACAAAACCAATGTAAAAACAACTCATGTCGGTCACATGAATTTTAAACAATTGACATTTGGCGCGTGCACAAACTTTGGGAGATTGTCCTAGCTCTTTCGTTTTGGAAGAGGGTCCTATTTTCTGAGGCCGAAGGCTGAGGGAAATAGGACCCTCTTCTGGTCACTCACAGTCCCTTGGTGCACATAGACGTAATAATAAAACATATGTGTTTTGATCACCTGCCCAAGGAATCTGTTTTGACAGGACAGATCACTAATGCCAGTACAGTAATGTACGAAATTACGCTTTTGTGTTTCTCCCCCATTAACTTGTGAAACCACATTTCAGACTTCCTTGCCCTGCTGCTCAGCCATAAAGCCCATAGCCTTGGTCAATGCTGTCGTCGTTATTCGTCCCGTACGTGGTCAATCGTCGGCATATATCCTCACGCGCTATGCACATGCATGTAAAATTACAGCGCGAACAGCGACCTCACGCGGCCACTATTTTTATATGCAAATCAGTTGGGGACGATCGAGAGCCTTGGTTCAATCGTCCATGTGAGGTTTTGGGGGTGGTGCTCATTATGTTAATAGCCTTAGCTGACCTTAAATGTCGTTTTCTTATTGGACGATCGTTGCGTGGAAACTTGCATAGTGAAACGTGGCACCGTACATAATCCATACACGTACACGTTGTGTGTCTCTGCACACGGCACCAATGCACAAAAACTGTGGTTCCTGTCACGTCCGCAAAAGGCGAATAGCTGCAAATAATTTGATGACGTCCGGATTTACCAAGGTGTGATTGGACACTCCACATATTAGCCCCGCCTACACTTATCTGTATTCGCATACGAGGTCGTGCGCTAGAAATCCAGCGCAAAATAAAGAAAAACATAAGCTTTTGCCGACGATTGAACCAAGGCTCGAGATCGTCCTCAACTGATTTGCATATAAAAATAGTGGCCGCATGAGGTCGCTGTTCGCGCTGTATTTTTACATGCATGTGCATAGCGCGTGAGGATATATGCCGACGATTGACCGCGTATGGGACGAATAACGACGAGAGCATTGACCAAGGCTATAAAGCCCAGAATGGAGAAAATGACCACACCCCCAAAGATGCTGGTGAGGGAGTTGATGAGAAGAGCAATACTGACTCCATCACCACTGAAACAAAAAAAGGAACAAAGAAGTTGTTGATGAATAAAGAAGTGCACAGGAATAGAAACCAACACAAACAGTGTGACTGACTGACCAACTCCTTCTGCAAATCAGTAGCGGATCTAGCCCCCCCCCCCCATGCACCCCCCCCCCCCACCACACCCCACCACCCCATTCAGCCATTGGAAATAGTTATGACACAGTGTACTGGTAAAAATGGGGCTAACAATAATACAATTTGACTCAAAATTCCTAAATGTATTCTCAAAATGCGGGAGGGGGCATACTCCGGCCCCATGGCATGCCGGGGCACACCTTCACTCAAATATTAACCCCCCTGTCTCCATGCATTTCCTGAAAGCTAGATCCACTCCTGCAAATGGTCATATAAAATTTAGTATAAATGCAGACAACCAGAGAACAATAATGGGCAACTCCATATGAAAAAGTGGATATTGCTGATAAATGGAAAATTGATGAAGTCTTCCAAATTACAAGCATTGTTACCTCAAATGTGGTATCAAATTAAAGGGAACAAAAAGAACTTTCATTTAAATGTATTCAAGCCTGCCGACTTTCACGCATTGAGCGTGAGATTCACGTATTTCAGTTATTCTCACGCCCACACGGGATTTGTCACGCTAAAAAAAAATAATAACAATTGACTCCAAACTCGAAAAATGATGTTTATGTGATGATCTTGTGCACACAAGAATTGGTAAAAGTGGTCAGAAATTGCCTCAGATTGCACCACGGAGCATTTAATCCAAATTTTCTGCCGTTAGTGCTTCGCGCTTGAATTCGTTCTGATCAAGCTCCATCACCAAATTCTCACGCTCAGCTCTTACTCAAAGTTGGCAGCCCTGTGTATTTGTGTGTCCGCAAAAACTGTTATGGGGGGGGGGGCTAAAATTGTGGATTTTATTTAGGAAGTAATTTTGGCATCTCGTTTTACATGCAAAAAGCAATTGTTATTGTTTTTGTTTGTAAGGCAGAGAGAAAGGCTCATTTGTTTACCGAAATAATTTGTTTTGTTTGATTTTCATTTTTTTTTTATATTTTAACTTGTACCAAAGATCAGCAGAGAAACTGTAACGTGAGTTACAGAGTGGTGAGTTACTGAAATAGATGTATATCCCTCTAGAGAGTTTATGATTGATTATACTGTTATTGTAATAGTAGCATATTACTTACAGCCTAATGATAATTATGAGGCACCAAACCATTACATTTTATGTAACATGCAGAGTTACCGATAAAAAGCTTTTTGCCAAACCATCAGAAACAAAATTTTATTTTGTTGGCCTTTTCTCCAGTTTTAAACACTTAATGTTAAGGGATCTTCAGTGAGAAAAATCCACTGTCAATCATGGGCGTCGCGAGGGGGGGGGGGGGGCCAAGGGGGGGGGCACATTGAAGTTTGAACAATTTTGTGCCAAGTCTACGGGGATGTCTCCCAAATGTCCAATCCAGAGTCATCATTATTATTTTTATCCCATAAAAGTCTTTACCAAAGTTCAGTGAAAACCTGTCTGTTTCTCTCCAAATAACAATAAACTGCTTAGTTTACAAATTCTTTACCCCTGCCTGTTCATATCACTAAAAAAATATCACTTCTTGACAGTACTGCACAGCTGTGAAAAATGTTTCATACTATTAACTTAAAACACATGAACACACACAGAAATGGCACTACTGAACATTTTGTCTGTGTGTGTAATCATGGTAATGCACCTAGCACTATGACTGAGAAATCTAGTTTGGCAAGAGTCCAAATGTCGGTTAAATTTTGGCGCCGTTACACACAATTGAATGTGCACAAGGTAGGCGCGCCTCAATATACCGGTATATAGCAAGGAAATCTCTGCCTGCATGTGTGAGTGGCTGGAATTTTAGGTAAGTTCCATGTTTTGAAATGTTAAAATGTCTGCTGAAGTATGCAATAATGTCAAAACCTGTGTAGTCGACAACAGTTTCCATTCCACATGAAACATGTACTGGAATTTCATCGGTACACATATCAAATACATGTAGGCCTACACACAGTTGTGTACATATGTATGTATGTGAATTCATGTAATGCGAACACCACAGCTCACAGAAGTCTGTCATTTATTGACTGTATAGGCCTAGTTAGTGAGTAATATGGCAAAGGATATGGACATATAGTCACTGGCATATCCAGAACTAATCAAGTTTTTGGGGGAATCGATGTCCAACTGAAAAGAAAATTTTAAAGGGGGCACTGCATCCTGAAATCCCCGAAATGTTCATGTTTTGGATTGGTTACTTATCCTTTTTCAAACTTCATCTGATTGAAAGGAAACCAACCTAATGCATTACCGTTCTTGAGAAAAGACGAATAAAACGTGGTTGTTTACATCAGACACGACAGAGTATACGATTTTCCTGCCGTTTTCTGTCAATGTACGACACACGTGTGTGTCACATAATTACACACAGCACCAATGCACAATATGGTTGGAATCACAACTAGCACCCAAATTTAACAGCTCGACTTTTGGGGGCCGCAAAAGTAACCCCAACATTAGTCGTTCTCGCACGCACAACACAAGAATAACACAAAAACGCCCAGTTTTTTAAAGGATAGTTATGTGGATGTTTGTATCCTATACTTTTAAATGTTTTTTCCGCCCAACTTGGGCGCATTCCAGGACGCAGCTAGTGTCCCTTTAAGTCAAAGTTGTAGGGCTGTCCCGAATATACCAAATACATTTATTCAAAAATGTGATCTTCAACCGAATATTTTCGAATAATTTTGGCCGGTATTCGAAAACACAAAAAACTACGCACATATATACTGTGATGTTATTTTATTGTAAAGTTATAGTGCCACTTTTTTGTTGACTGTGACTTTTTTGTCGATGGCGGTTCATTGTTGAATCCTTTTAGGTTTATAAAGCCCTTTACAGTTATAAAATATACTTACTGCAAAACACTTCAGTGCCCCAAGGGCGAATCCAGGGGGGGGGGGGGCCAAAGGGGGCCATGCCCCCCCCCCCCCCAAAGAACGAGACCAATTTTTTTTAATTTTTTATGTGACATCGCAATAAAGGCAGGCAATGAGTACACTACCATCTTTTCCTCCAAAAAAACATTGGTTAAAGTGGTCAGAAATTGCCTCAGATCGCACCACAGAGCATCTAGAATCCAAAAAAATTTTGACCCACTTTTTGGGGGTCCAAATTTTTGGGGGGCCCCCCCAAAAAAATTGTGTTCTGGATCCGCCCTTGAGTGCCCCATATTGATCGCCACAAGCAAATTTTAATCGGTGGGCTCTTCATGCAACATTTTACAGGTGCGGCACACAGTTGCATTTAAAATATGTTCTGTAGTCCAATTGGGCACTTTCCAGGACGTTGTGTCACTTTAATTTAAGAATGGAAAAAGTTTGTTCCCTGCTTTATAATCTCAGACTTTGTATGTTGCTGGGTATTTGGAATTGTGTAAAGGTTACTGCAATCGCCACCACTTACATGTCAGCCTATACTCCCCTATAGCCACTGTCAACAGAAAAGGCTCCATTGGTTTCAGGGGAAAAAACACCTAGATATAGATAATGTACCCAAAATTGAAAACTTCAGTAAGATATGTGCTGAGGTGAACCACATTTTATATTGTTATCAACAATTCCCAAGAGAAATTGCTAAAATCTGTTGTATGTTTCAGAGGACCGGCACAAATCAAGCCATGCCACGCGGTAAGTCCAAACCAGCTCGCCAAGTTCGCCGGGCCCGCCCCGCCCATCCTGCCCCCCAGAAGCGAAAGACCAGTCAGGTAAAACACAAAACTAAACCACCTGCTCAAAAGCCAAAACCTCCAAAAAGTCGACAAGTGGCCAAGGCCAAAGTTCCAACCAGCTCAAAAGCCAAAAGATCATACCCGTCGCAGGCCACAAAGCATGTAGTTAAGCACCACCAACCAGCTAAAAGACATCTCGCACACCAACAAGGTCAACCATACCCAAAACGACCAAAACTTCGGCAAGTTCAACTGGGCTCTACAGCTAGCCTTCAGTTTGTGCCCTTTCCAATTGCAACCACGCCAACAACAACGAATGTGCATCATCATCATGGGCCTCAATCTGTGCAACATCATAGCTTGAACATCAGTGGCGATAGAAACCCTGTGATGTATGCACCAGGGGGGCACCACAACCATTTATCTTACCAACCGCACAGGCCGGATGAACAACCAATACCAAGGCCAACAGGTAAAATAAAATGTTACGAAATTTTTTTTCCTCCTTTTTTTAACCAGTTTACGCTGGGCAAAATTTTGACAAGAACAGAACGAGGCACGGCATTATACTTTCACTCGACCTCAATGCCAGGCGGGTTGAAGCCATCACCCTTAGGCCAAAAAAAAAAGTCTCCGGTTTCTGGTATGGAGCTTGCCCAAAAAGTGGTGCGGTGACGCGGTGCTTTTTTTTTTTTTACCTGTTTTTTTTTTGCTTCAAATGTTGGCTGATGACTGCAAATGGTGCCCGACTAAACTTAGTGCAAATAATATGGGAGTCCAGAGAGACCACATAAAGCTTATTCTCGATCATAACCCCATCTAAAAACACGTTAAAATTGTGCAGCAGCAGGATTCCAGTCAAACCAGTGAGTTTGGCGGTTTTGAGACATCATCTTTTATTGGAAAAAAACTTTTTCATTTTGCCGACGCGCATGGCTACGGCGACGCGCGCATACCAGAAACCGGAGACTTTTTTGGGGGGCCTTAGACAGCACACTCGTATTTCCGGCCTCGCTCGCTGCGAGCGGGTCGCTGACAGACATTTCCAGCCTCGCTCCCTGCCTGTTTATCCATCATCCATTTCGAATACTGCAAAACCTTTGCATGTATACACTCATCCGGCGCGAACTGATAAAAAACCTGAGTTAGACGTTGTTTTAAAGGTAGAGTACATGTACATGTACATCATTTGTTCATTTTTTTGTGTTACCAACAAAAGTGCTCAAAATCTATAGAAGGGTGCTTAACAACTAACCTGATGAACTTTTAGCTCAGTGAATGCTTTATATTCCGAGAAAACAATATTCTAGGATCTCGATTTCAATAAGCCATTTCGGTATTTCAATGACCCGAGGTTGTTCGGGATAACATCGCTGACGTGATGTTATGCGATGTTACACGCACACCCATTCTGCTGGTAATTTACATGCAAGCGTCGTGCGCCCGCGTTCATGCGCCTTCGAAACGTTCGATTATCCCGCATGACCCATATCATTGTGCACATGCACAGTTGAAATACCGAACTGGCTTATTTAAAAGTTGCAGAGTCATGCTTTGAATTGAGCCCAAATCAGTGTCCGGGACACGTTCTCATTCAGCTGATTGCATCTATGAGATGTCACGCACTGAACCGACGAATAGTAGCAACCGCTCACGCTTGTGTGTCGTGTCAACGCTTGCACGCACCAGTTGCCGAATTAAAACCGTATTACTAACGGAAATTTCCAAAAATGTGTCTATAGACGCAGCTTTGGAAACTACCTTCTTTAATTGTTTTCTTCAAAATGACAGCATGCCCAGAAAGAATAATTTCACAGGGAGTTTAGTGCCATTACTGTCTTTAAACCAAGTAAGCTTTTCAACAATAGTTTTGTCACTTTTTGGATAGCTGCAAATGATCTACTCTACCTGTAATGACCTGAGTTATAGACATACAAGATTTGGACATGGTAATTTGATATCAATAGTTCTGGTATTACTGGGACACCTTTCCATACTTGTGCTTAATTTTTTGAAACAGGCATATATGGTTCAAAAACAGAATGCTCTTCAATCCCTGTTACTTTTTAAACCTTTACTGAGAAGTTGCACTTTCTAAAAAGACACATTCTAGAGTATCTAAAAAAAAATCTTTAAAAAGAAATCCCCTACCCCAGTTTCAAATCTTTTGACAGGGCAAGAACGTCAAGATAAAGATAAAGACTACAACTCTGAGGGGGAAAGAGACACCCAGTAGTGCTCATCCACTGATACATCAACTCCCACAGCAGAGGAAACCTGGACAGCATCCACAAGCATGAAACAAGAGTTGATGCAGAGCAACTGGAAAGCAGCTCTGGGGTTAACTGGGTGTAAAGGTGTAAGAGTCTTGACTAAAAATGTATGAAAAGATAGCGAAAGAGAAACAAATCTCAAAGTGTTTACACAAGACCCAAGGGGGGGGGGGGGATGGTTAGAGTCAAGCAAGACTTAATCTTCAATTTCCCCAAACAAATAAAATTGATTCAAAACAGATTTCAGTTTTTGAAAATTACTTAGCCACTAGGTTCGCATGCCTATTGCAAGATATAAGCACAATTAATGGTTACACCTCTATGTTCCGACACCCCTATGTTCCGACTGCACATATTCCTATTCCTAACCCTAATCCTAACCCTAACCGGGAGTAACACAATCTAGGTTGTCGGAACATAGAGCAGTCACCCAATTAATTATGTGAACAAATATCTTCATGATACTGCTGGGTTGATGTTTTAAACAATAACAATTCTCCTAAAATGTTTATAAGATTAAATACCCTGCCCCCATGCTACACCACAGGAATTTGAAACACAATGCTTTGAACTGATTGAGGATTATTTCTGGATGACAAGTTCGACAAGTGCTTTTTATACATCAAGATATAGCCTACATAAATATGCTTTTAGTGTTATTGTCACATTGCTTTTATACTTAATTTAATAATATGTACAGCTTAAATGCAGATATACATCAACGCTAGTCGATTCACATTGTCGTGATTCTGTTTAGGGCATATTATAAACATGAGTAAATACGAACTCAAGAATGCATGGAACAAATTGCGCATATTAATTGATAGATGTACAATAAAGCAGAAGTGGATTAAATGCCAAATAGGAGAGATGTCAAAATTTCAGCCAAATAATTTAAGCGTTTTTTTTAATGTCTTTTAAGGATTTCCTGTTTACAGAGTTGTAATGACTCGAGTCAATGACTCGACTCGAGTCCGACTCGAGTCACAATTTTTGGTGACTCGACTCGACTCGAGTCCCTAAGGGCAAATGACTCGACTCGGCTCGAGTCACTGCGAGCAAATGACTCGACTCGACTCGAGTCTCTCATCAGAAGACTCGACTCGACTGGAGCGAAGGCTAAAAAGACTTGAGTCCCAAAAATAAAAGCACAACTTTGCGAAAAGTATTTGCAATGACTTACGATGCAAAATTTATGCTCACTTCGCTTTGCGAATAGCAGTCATGTACAAATATATACATGTCACAGACACCCACTTTATGGTTCTAGAACGCACAAAATACTATCCAGGAACCAGATTTTAAACACATTTTCTAACTCGCTGTTTCATCATTGGCTTTGGGCGATTTCTTATAAAGCTGTTGGATTCGAATGCTGGCTAAACTGATGGCCTCCTTTTATAAATTTTTGGTATATAGTGTTCAAATATTCGAGACTCGAATTGACTCGAGCTAAATATTTGACTTGACTCGACTCGACTCGACCTTTTGACCTAATGACTCGCCTTGACTCGAGTCACTTCTTTAAAATGACTTGACTCGACTCGACTCACTTCTTTAAAATGACTCGACTTGACTCGAGTCACAAAAATCAGTGACTCGTTACAACTCTACCTGTTTATCATGAAACTGATGAAACTGACACAAGCTCACAAGCATTCTTAAAGGGAATATACATCATTTGCTTTTGCTGTAATTTTCAGAAATGGATGGAATTGGGGGGTTGGAAATATATAGCAAATATAGTTACACTGACTTTTTTGAGGTTTTGGGTTTGAAAATGCTATAAAAACCAAGAAAAACGATCATTTTCCTGTAGTCTGGTTCCCTGACTCCATATAAGAAGAAACAGAGCAGTTTACATACATTGGGGAATTGTAAGGTAAGGGAACCAGTCTAGCTGGCTCGTACCCGTTCATAGGTTTGTAATCGATTGCAAACAAGTGCGATGGTCAATTGGGGCCAGTATTTTTTTTAAAAGCCAGTTGTTTCCAACGCTGATCGGCCGATCAGCGTTGGAAATTGATACAAAAATACCACTTTTCTTGAAAATGACAGTATAGCAGGTGCCATGATTTTACAGGATGCTTTACACTGTCATTCACTAACAGTCCAGCAAGGTATTTCAAAATGATTTTGTGGTTTTATTTTTTGATGTTTGCAAATGTTGTATTTTCCCTTTAAGAACTCAAAGAATATATGGTCCATTTTAAACAGCACTGCATCAGCTAATTTCACCAAACAATTAAACTTATTTGTGTAGAATTTACACAACAAATTTAATGTGTAGCTGCAACTAAACTTCTGATGCAGTATACAAATATTGAGTGGCTCAGAGTGGAATGGGAGGAATGCTATCGCAAGGTGAAATCCGGAAAAGTCAAGATTTTACCGAGAATGGGACTTTTTAAGCCCCGGCGTGAATGGAAGCAATAATGAATGTCCCGTGATGTGATTTTTTTTTCTTTTCTTATCCGGGAGGATGCCCCTCCCCTTCCCTCGCAACACCCATGCCTGTATTGCCCCAGTAAACGTCATACTTTTCAACCACTTATATTTCAAGTGATATGTGTGCAGAGAAGTGAAATTTGCTGAAAGTCAGTATCACAACATCTAATATTGCAAACAAGTGTCCACCACGCAATGGTCTTTTCAGCTTTTTTTGGAGCACAGCATTCTTACCTTTGGTATCATCAAACTCTCCCACTTGGGTCTGAAGAAGAACACGATTCCTTTCTGGTATCCCGGCAAGGTAACCCCGCGTATCAGAAGTACAAACAGACACACGTAGGGGAAAAGTGCAGTGAAGTACACCACCTAGAAATAACAGGATTGAATTTAAAAAGGTGATAAAAATTGAACAAGTGTGGCTTTGAACAGGTTGCACGTTGCTCATGCACTCCTGACCCTACAACTTGCTAACTTTGTAATGGGGTAACATTGCAAATGTGTAAGTATCTGTATATGTACTCTCTCTATGTTTTAAATTTGTACTGCTGGTGGAAAGCAAATTTCCGCATGCTTATTGTGGACAATAAATTATCAAATTATCAAATTATAACTTTTAAACAGGAACCAATAGATGAACATTACAGCAACTGGGGTGCTTTGTCGATGCATTTTGATAGGTAATATACAACATGTTGCTTTTGCTGTAATTTTGAGAGATGGACAGATTTGGGGGTTAGTATTTTATTGTTACACTGACATGGTTAAAGGGAATAACAACATTTGCAAACATCGAAAAATTAAACTACCAAGTTTTTACGAAATACCTTACTAAGATGTTGGTAAATGACAGTCTAAAGCATCGTGTAAAATTATGGCACCTGGTGTGAAGTCATTTTCGAGAAAATGGTATTTTTGTTTTTGTATACATTTCCAACGGTGGTCGGCCGACCACCGTTGGAAAAACCTAACTATTTTTCAACTACTGCTCCAACTTTACTTTTTTCAGTCCAAATTTTGTTTGCTATTGGTTACATGTTCATGAACGGGTGCAGGCCAGCTAGACTGGTTCCCTTATGCCTTAAAATCTTCTATAAATTGATCCATTTTATCTTTAGTGGAGTCAAGGAACCAGACTACTTGAACATTTTTGTTTTTCTTGGTTTTTCCAGCATTAACGAACACAAAACTTCAAACATGTCAGTGTAACAATATTTGATCTATTATACTAACCCCTCAAATAGTTCATTTCTGAATATTACAGCAAAAGCCAATGATGTACATTCCCTTTAAATCATATAAATTTGCACTAAATTTTGTCTTTATTTGTTTCCAGGGAAAATTATAGCTGTTAGATCAGAACCTGGTAGAAATAAGGTTGAAGGCTAAAAGGTATCAGCAAAAAAATTGAGAAAAAGGAACAATCCACCCACCATCTTGAAAAATCTGAAAAAAAGGGAGCTCCTCCTTTAAAAAAAAAAAAAAAACCTGGACAATTTTTTTTGTTTAAGCTGGCCAAACAATCTGAGACTGTTTTACAACTCACCACCTCCATTCTCGAAGCAGAGGTAAGGAAAACGCCACACATTTCCCAGGCCGACCGCTTAGCCCAGACGAGCAAGAAAAAACTCCGTCTTGGACCGCCAGACCGGGCGACGTTTTTCTTTTGGCTGATGAGGGGCCTCTTCATTGTCACTTATGTCAGCACACTTCATCTCCTCCATAGTTGGCTACAAAGTACAAGGAGAAATTTGTAGAAAATCATGGTATTTTATGCAAAGTAAATGTAACCAGGGAAACAGACTCTTCAGTGGCAAGTTGCCCCCCCCCCCCCCCGGACCGGTATTTTGGTTTAAAGACAAAAACAAATCGTTTCGTACCATGAATTATTGAAACATCATTAAGAATTAATTGAATTACACTCTGGCATCCAGGTTATCACCTAAAGTTGAAGTTATTCCAATTCTATCCAAAAATATATAAAGGAAATGTATGTTAAATAATGCAAAGAGGCACAAAACCAATGTAAAAACAACTCATGTCGGTCACATGAAATTTTAAACAATTGACATTTGGTGCGTGCACAAACTTTGGCATATTATATTGTCACATTGTAGTTCAGTTATGGGCCCTAGCTCTTTCGTTTTGGTGCTTAAAAATTTTAACCGAAAGAGATACTGCTCCAAATTACCCCCCCCCAAAAAAAAAACAACAACAACAACAAACAAACAAACATGTCTGCCTTTAAATCTTGTATCTTGCTAATTAAGGGCGAGTTGAAGCCTAAAACGACCTATCAAATCTTGGTCAGAACAAGTCTGATCTTAACTTCAAATTTAAGTTGTGCAAAAGTCATTTTGGAATGATAAAAAAGACTTGGGTAATCCTTACTTTTAGGACACCTCTATTTTTTACGAGTTTTATTAAAAACTGACTTTTGCAGATGTCTGTCCAGTGCCAAAGTGACTTTTGCAGGCTAAAGCAGTCTTTAGAAGTCAAGAAGGTGTCATTGCCAATTGTTCAGATGTGCCAGGAAGTATCAGAATGTCAATTTTGAGTGTCATTTAGTCAACTGTTTTGGTGAGTCTTTCCCTTCCTATATAGGAACGGGGTCCTAAAAGTAAGGATTACCAAGACTTGAGTTATAGGTCTAACTAGTAACTACACAATCACCTCGACCAAACAATTCTGCTAACAAAATATTACCAGTGCAAAGTACAAGAGATAAACATGGTACAAGTAAATCGTAAACAGCCACATGAGTCAATGACCCAAATTCATAAACCAAACAAATGGCTCGGAATCAATAAACTAGTTTCACACCTCACTTTTCCTCATGTTCACAGCTACGCGACGAGGACAGGTAGGTACAACGTATTCAGGATGTTTTCATTTCGTGCACGTAGTCAGTGGGCTTAGCCCCAATGCATTTTCGGGTACATTCATTAAAACTCTCAGGATCACTTATATACCTATACCTCAAGGATTTCAAAACCAATTGATGCCATTTTTTCTGACCCTTTTATGGGCGGGGCCATGACTTTAAAAAGTGTGGGGGGGGGGGCTTCGTGTGCAAAAAATGATTCAGATACATTTGTCATTTCACTTTTCTTTTTTTAGTATTTGGACAGCTCACCCGAGAGCTACATCATGAGAAAAAAAAAATCCAGAAATTCGCCTCTTTGGGGGTGGGTCCACATTTTTATAAAGCGGGGGGCAAATGTCATTAACAGAATATTGAGCTGTAACGGACATTTTTTTGGTGTTTTTGGTTTTTGTTCCATCCAGTACAGTAACCAGGTGGACAGAATGCTTACCTGTCAAATCATAAAAAAGTGTTCCTCTTTGTCGGTGTGTCATACTTTTTTTCATAAAAAGGGGGCATAGAAACTCTCAGGATCACCTAGGCTATGGATACCTCTGCAAGTCCAAAAAAAATCGCTTGGTCCCATTTTTTGCAATGCCCCTACTATATAGGGTTGCCATTTTAAATGTCCAAATGGCAGCCATTTTAAATGTCTATCCTACATAGTGTACACATATAAATTGACAAAATAATCGACTTTTGAGACATTTGTTTTGATCTTTTATATTATATCCTGAATACAATGCTGACCCTCCAAGACAGTACACTCAAACTGTAACAGCCATTTTAAACTTCAAAATGGCCGCCACTTGAAGTTTATATTAAAGATGCAGTTTGCACTTATTGGAAAAAGTATAAAAATATTGAGTTGTGAAATGGTTGAACAAAATCGACGGTTTGAAATTTGTCAATCCTTGACTTTTTCCCCGTGAAGGGCAAAACCTAATTTGATCAATCCTTGACTTATTTTGACTTACCAAAAGGTATTAATGAATGGGAATTAATACTGTGCTGGAACAGTTTTAAAAGTGATGTTTAAAACCGGCTAAGGTCAGCTGGTCACCGACAATAGCCCTCGCGGAGTGGCCTCGCCTTCGGCCAGGGCCATAATCAATGACCTGAAACCGAGCCGGTTTTAAACCACACATGCTTCAGCACACTATTATCCCACTATTAAAGGGAAGACACAACATTTGCAAACATCAAAAAATGAAATGATCAAATTATCACGAAATATCTTACTGGATTGTTAGGGAATGACAGTCTAAAGCATCCTGTAAAATTGTGGCTCCTGGTGTGCTGACATAAGTCCAAGAAAAATTGTATTTTTCCAACGCTGGTCGGCTGGCTTATTTCAAAAACTGCTTCTAATTATTCATTTTTAGTTATTCCACATTTTTTTTGCAATTGATTACACACCTGTGAAGGGGTGCAAGCCTGCTAGACTGATTCTCTGACCTTACCATTCCCTGATGTTTTAAATTGCTTCTTTCATCTTAAGTGGGTCAGGGAACCAGACTACAAGAGCACGATTGGTTTTTTGAATTTTTCCAGCATCTACAAGCCCAAAACGTGAAACAAGTCAGTTTTACAACATTTTCTATAACATACTAACCCTCCAAATCCATTTATTTCTGAAAACTGCAGCAAAAGCAAATGTTGTACATTCCTTTTAAACTACAATTCTGCATCGTACATTTTCCCACTGCTTATAACAAATAATAAACCATTATACACCTATTATTATAAAATGCAATATAAAGTGCAGAAAAGTGAGATTTCTATAAAAAAAACAACCTACATTCATCATGCTCAATGAACACACTACATGCAAATTAGTTACAAATATATATATATATACACATATACAGAGCGAGTAAACCAAAAAAGAAAACCCAAATGTCAGGACGATTTTTAATAAAGTTCTGCATGTAGCACTTTCAAAATCTAGGATATGAAAGCCCAATTAATAAGCAAGTTCTTACAAGAATCATTCAAATCACTCATGTACTTTTCAAGTTTAAACACAAACACCGTTTTAAAGTTCTGTCCAGGGATCACAAAAAAAGGTAAGTGTTCTTTCAGCAAAACAAAACAATTCACAAACACCATTGAAAGTTCTGTCCACGGATCACAAAAAAAGTATGTTTTTTTTTCAGCAAAACGAAAACATTTCACATACATCCCTATTTGAGTTGTAACCATTGTAACAATTGAAAAAAAGTTGTTTGGATTTTTATTTTCATTTTCAATACTGTTTTTAATGATATGAAATAGACACATTCCTGTTTCAATGCGTCATACAGATGTAGATATAAATGATGTGCACAAACAAAATATGTGCACTACTTGCTATTTTAGCTCTAACAACTATATCAATAATGTATGTCATACCTGGTATGTACACCATTACATTTTTTACTCCATTTTTTTGTGTGAATAATACAAAAATATATAGATATTTCTCTCCATTTTTCTTGAAAATGCGTTTTTTGTAACACATAATCAGCTGATTTGATTGGCCTCAATTTTCGGCTGTTTGCATTTAACAAAATATTCACAGTTCGAACACAAATCTGAGTTGACAAAAGATCAGTTCAACATATTTGTCTTAGTCTGTTATTTTTTCATGAGTTTATTGACTTCCTAATTTAAACGAAAATAGCTGCTACGTTCATCTGAAAACCTGGAAAAAGAAATCAACATTTCAATATGAAGAAATTGTTTCCACAACCCGATATACCAATTAGAAAAGCGAAAAATTTGCGCAGTTTTAGGAAACTTTAAAGGATAAAAACGATACAACAGCTGTTTCTAAACTTAAAATGTGTTTAACTTCACAGCCATCGAAACTGACTCGAGGCATCAGAGAGGATGGGATTTTCAAAGGCAACAAAATGGCATTTATTTCGTTTTGAAAATATACACTTCATACACTTCAACTAACTTCGTGTTGAGTTCGTAGATAGTTATGAAGTCTACAGTAAAACATAATGCAAGTATTTTAAAGGGAAGATACAACATTTGCAAACATCACAAAATGTAATGATCAATTATCATGAAATACCTTACTGGCTTGTTAGGGAATGACAGTCTAAAGCATCCTGTAAAATCGTGACTGCTGGTGTGCTGACATTTTCAAGAAAAGTGGTATTTTTCCAATGCTGGTCGGCCGACCAGCGTTGGGGAAAACTGGCTATTTTTTTCAAAAACTGCTCCTTATTTTTCATAATTAGTTATTTGGCATTTTCTTTGCAATTGATTACAAACCTGTGAAGGGGTACAAGTCTGCTAGACTGATTCTCTGACTTTACAATTCCCCAATGTCTATAAATTGCTGGACTGGACTACGCAAGCCTTGTCTTAATGTTTGCATTAAGCACCTAGTTTTATATCTTTAAGCCTTTAAAATGACATAATTATACATCGCAGTAGTCACAAAATCCAAGCTGCTCACAAGTTGGAATCTGACTCGACATTAAGGCTGGTGTAAGTAATTCCAAGCGGTCCCTCGCCTGTCGGATCCTCCCTCTGCCCGGGTAGGTACAGCGCCCCGCCCATAGTGGTACCGTGCTCCAGGTGGACATTCCAGGCATGCTGGCGGTCCTCTGCCTTAGCCGGTCCCCAGGTCTCCTGGGGTGTGATCATTGCACGCCAACGCTGTGGATTGGAATTGGGAAACATTTATTTCCAAAAGTTATTTCCAAACATCAGTGGCGCACCCAGGATTAGGCTTTGGAGGGGCTCACAATTTTTTTTTTTTTTTTTAATTTTAGAAGTTAATTTTTTTTCAAAAAATGTTGCCCAAAATTTGTGGCCTCAGAAATTTTTATTTATTTATTTACTTCTTTTTTTTTTTTTTTTTTTTTGGGGGGGAGACTATTTTGACGTCGGTGGCACCACTTACACCCCTATTATACTACTCGAAAATAGGCCACATTCATATCACC